TAGGCACGGCTGCACTGGTCTGAGCTGCCTTCCTATTTCCTCGAGAATCAGGACAAATGCAAACAGATGACGATGCTGGTTCTAGAACTTGTTGAAAGTGGACACTCAACTTTGAGGCAAGTTTTTTGTAAACCATGTACATCCTTTTTTTGTCTCCCCAGATAGCGACAGCTATGGGGTTCTTACTTCAAAAACAATGAGCTGGCCGGCGGCGGGCTCCGGTGCGGGGTGCTGGTGCTGGCTGCGGCGCTGGTACTGGGTGCAGTGAAGTGAGTGAGAGAGACCTGTCACGAAATCAGAGCGCCTCGAAGATCGCAAAGTGCTGCGCCTGCCACGAAATCTGCAGTTCAAAGTGCAACCGCTCCGACCCCTTGCGCGTGTCACTTTGCGCCGCCAGGACGCGAGTTTTCCCTTGCGCCTGCCACGAAAAGTGACCGTGTCCGAAAATGCGCGCTGTGCCACAACGAGAGCGCAGCCGCGACGAGCACCCGCCGCGGCCCGCCAGATTTTTCGAGCCTGCGCAGTCGAAACGCGCTTGGAGGATTTCGAGAGGCGTGAATGTATTGGAAATAGCAGACACCGGTGTTCAACCCCTACCGTAAGAACCCCTGTGACCACGCTGTCTGGGGAAATAGAACTTGCTTGGAGCCTGTGATAAGCCAAAATGCTTTGCCATTTTGACTCAAGCTTGATCTCTCTCCTAGCGATGGCAGGGGAGCGCTAAAGAGTTTTTCGATGGGGATGTGCTGGATGGTGCGGATACCGTGACCTCCTTCAGCGACCATAGGCAAGGAGATTTTTCTGGTGGAAGAGGAGGTTGCGGGCTGGGTCGATGCTAATCGTGACCCCTGCAGATTCTGTTAAGCGCGACCCCTCTGTTGACGAGCTGGTAGAGTTGAACCTGGATGCTCGCTCCTGACGGTGATGTTTCTAGTCCCTATGGCAGTCTCTGGCGCGCTGGCGGGCTTGGGTGCTAGTTGCATGACTGGCCTGGTTAGTAAGTGGTGGTTTAGTTGGCCTACTTATAGCTAACTCTCCTAACTCAGGTTATAAGTCTGCTAACCCTAGTCAGCAAGTCTGCTACTGGTATGTGCTTATCTGTTTGTAGATAGTTAGCAAGCGCCCTTGCTAGACGGGCACAGTTTGCGGACTTGGGTGTTCACAAGGTCCTGCCTGCCACGAAATCTGCACTTCGAGGTTCACAAAGTGCAGCGCCGCCGCAAAATCCACACTTCGAGGTTCACAAAGTGCTGCGCCTGCCACGAAATCTGCGCTTCGAGCCTCGCAAAGTGCTGTGCCTGCCACGAAATCTGCGCGTCGAGGCTCACGCCTGCCACGAAAATCTGCGCTTCGAGGTTCACACAAAGTCCTACGCCCGCCACGAAATCTGCACTTCGAGTCACTTCGAGGTTCACAAAGTGCTGCGCCTGCTAAAAAATCTACACTTCGAGCCAGGGGCATGACTTGTTGATCCGTGGGCTACTGGGAGACGCCTCCGGCGCACGGCCTAGGACGGGACGCGCGTTACTTGTCACCAAATGATCAGCAGCCCTGAAACTGCGCAATACAATTTCCAGATGTCATTCATTCCATCAACCAGGGTGCCAAAGCACACCTTTTTCAGAGGACCTCCTGACCAAGATCCGCCCTCGACCTCTTAGGTTAACAGGTGCCCTTCACCCTGCAGCCTCATCTGGGCAGCTTGGGGGCAAGGCGCTATGCTACTGCTGGCTGCTGCCTCCTGACCGCGGGTGGGGACAGGCGCCCCTGGCCTTGAAACCTCGCTTGAGTGGCGTGGAGCCTGCCGCGCAGAACTTTGGCGCGATTCTCTGGTTTTTGCGCCACCTCTGAGTAGACTTGTTTTTTCTTCTGCGACTCGTTTCTCACTGAGTCTGACGCGAAACTGTGGCGGTGGTGGCGTTTTGGGTGCCATCCCAGTCCTGTTTCCATCAAGCATTTTGGACCAGACTCAGGAGAAACCACACCAACATGCAAAAGTGCCTGCTGCGCCTGCACTTTTTCGTTGGCTTTTTGGATTGATGTTTAGAGAAGCATAAAGAAACTCCCTACTGCCCAGTACCTGCCATTTGCCTATTACAGGCAAAGGCAGTTTGCTTTCCTGTTCCACCAAGTCGATTTTCCTTGCCAGCTGCCAGCTCTTTCTATTATATATACATCTTTTGTTTTCGACCCACATTACATTACATAGTATTTGTGAACGTACAACATCTTGTATAATGGAAGGATCAGCTTACTTTGGCAAAATTATTTTCATAGTGTGTTGTTCATCTCCTTTAATAACCACAGTCATCTTCACATATTGACGGCACATAAATCTTTTTCATTACCATCGGCATGAGTACGAGTTGACAGCTGAACAAACTGAATTTTTTTGATGGCTTTAAAATTTAACGAAGAAAAACTATTTCGTCCTTGGTGGGGAACTAGTTTTTGTTTGGAATCAAGAGCCAAGATTCCTTGCAAGTTGCAGAATCCCCCAGAACTAGCCAACGCGAGAAAAGGCTACAGTGTCAGACGCTTCTATATACAAGAGAAGACGATGCTCCCAGCTTGATCCTAGATATCCCAAAATAATGGCAGGCGTTTGCAGGGTGCACCGCGGCCATGCAAAACAAACTAGTGCGAATTTTCGCTATACCTCGATGAGGTCGCTTGCCCAAGGATGTCTAAGGTTCTTGTCTAAGATGTCTAGGAGAAACATATTGCTGGTGGTGCGTTGACCTTCCGTGGCGTGGACTTCTTCGAGGCACGATCCCGAAATTGTACAACTGAAGGCTTTGCATATCCCGTTCTCACGCGAATCCAGCACAGCGTTACATATATAATTAGGTGGATAAAATCTCTATGGTGGACCCTTCTGGGAAACTTGCCAACTTGCTCAAGATAGTGCTTTGCTCTGGAACTGCTTCAAAATCTAGCAAGACATTGGTTAACATTGCCTGCCAAGGCCAAGGCTTGATCTTGCCCTGACATGACATGGATTGCATGTTTAGTGCACAGAGAAACTGTTTTTTGGTGGATGGACCCGTTGGCCTTTGCTTGGTTCCAAACTTAGGAACTTAGGTTTTAGCTTAAACCAGCGGGGAGATGGGTGTTGTCAGTCTTCAACTTGCCCAGGTAGGTGTTTTCACCATGACCAAGCAGCAACTTTTCTCAATTTAGCAATCGGGCTGGAGGGTTGCCTGTGTAGAGCACCTTCGGACTGGGGAGGCTGCTGCTTGCAACTTGTTTCTGTGGTCATGTCACGTGTGCTGAGGTTGGATAAGCTCGCTAAGTACTACGTACATTTGGGCCCCGAGGAGTAGCTACACCTGTGCTGCCGCTTGGGAAATGGAAACACTGCTCTCTGCATGCGCAACAGTCCAGAAACAATGAACACAGGAGACCGCTCCCACGCTGAAAGAGGTGGAGACCAAATTGAAGTCCTGGTGGGAAGCCAAGAGATCTTTCAAGTTCCCCGCACTTTATACCAAAGAATCCAACAAAGGTTGGTGCCAATAGCCCGTGATGCAGCTGCCAAGAAGGTTGCGTCTGTACATCGCAGCTACCCTTCTGCCAAGTGTGGATTTGGCTTGTGCCAAAGCAGCTTACGCAAGATCAACATGCCAGGCGACGTGATGCTGTAGCCAGAGGCGAGCATGTTTGAATGACATTTTGAGTCTTGGGCAAAGAAAGAACTGTAACCAATCCAATCATTTTGGACATTTGATTCAACATGATTCAGCCAAAACACCAGAGGCCATCTGGCAATGCTCTCGAAAGATCAGAAGCACTGCCAACTACAGTGACGGTATAGGGCTCATTCGGGCGAAGAAGTTGCGAGTTTGCTGTCGTCGCAGACCAATTCTTTGCCAGTTTTGAAGCCGTTTTGCAAATTGTTGGTGACGGAACGAAGTTCATCCATACATGTTCTGCGAGCTTTTGCGATTTGACATGAATTATATTGGCAGACTTGGGTTGAATCCAACTTGCTTGATTGTATTTACACCGCTAGGAGTGTCATGTTGCATGACTAGAACCTTTTGCCTTGAGTGCAAGAGACAGAAGGTCTTGTTAAAGCCCGAGCTTCGTTGCCTGCTCAACAATTTGAAGTAATCTTCATGCAGCAGCGACGGAGCAGCCTTGGCATTTGCGCACGGCCATCCTTCAAGATGGTTCAACAAGTCATGCGGTCACATGTGCAGCACATTGCAGACCGCTTCTGGTCTCGGTTCAATTCTTTTTTGTCCATCCAAGGGTTCAGTGGTGGTTTATGTTGGTGGTTTGGGAATGAGAGCCCTCGGAGACCTCAGACTGAAGGGATCCAGATTCAAACCACCAACCCAAACCACCAATCAACCCTTGGCGTGAAAGATGGTATTGTGCTGGCCAGCTCTCGCACGAATGCTAGATTCCTGGGCAGATATTGATTTGGACCATAGAGAGAAGATACGGAAGGGGATAAGCATCAAGTGTGCTGCTCAAACTGGCAAGCTAGCAACAGAAGTCTTTAGCATCAAGATCATAAAGTACGCTACTTGGAATTGCCAAGATTGCAAAAAGCAGCGAGGAAGCACAATTACAGCAGACTGGCAGGTTTCTTCGGCGCTCTACCATGACTTTACGATAAAGCCCACAAAGAGCCACCTTCCATGGTGTCCAAATCATAACCCTACCAGCAGGTCTTCAAAAGACCGCGCTCCTGATTGAAGAATTTCTGCCTACGTTTTGCAAGTGGAGCTCATATGTCGGCTGTTCAATACAATTGGCGCGCCGTGACATGTCCACAAATTCACTTCTGAGCGAAAGCTAGAGGAATTCCCTTCGCTCACGCTGAGCTCGTTTTGAAGAATTATGAGGGAAGCCATGTCAGGTGGCCAAGATGTCGAACCCAGCCGGCCGGCCAGTCATGGACCAGTCGTTGATCATTCAAGTGTGTTCTCGATCGTCCAGATGCGGGCCTTTGCTCGCAGGAAAAGAAAGGGAGAGGGAGAGAAGAACGAAACTTGTTCGATTATCTCGGCAGCCTTCTTGTATGGCCGTAATGCGGTTGTTGATTTTCTTATACACGGCACGGTGTGATTGTGTTGTGCAGTTTGTATGGACCATGGACAATCCTACCTTGTGCAGACCTTTTTGTGGACGAAGTATCTGCCGGGTGAACACGGTAGCTGCCATTTATCTAATGATCACACAATGTGAATTCTACAATGCAGGTCAAAGATTGCCCGCCTGGGTCCTCACATGCAAACGAAGACTCATTGAGGTAGCCTTTTTACACAAGTTCACATTTGCTGAGTTGCGTTGGTCACTCACAATTGCTGCACTTTGCATCCAAAGCATGACCATCCAGAGTTTGCCCTTATCCTTTTCCCTCAGGCCAGTGTTTACACTTTCGACATATGCTGCAAAGGTGTCCACTTCGCGTGAAACTGACAATCTTTTTCAAGACCCAGCTGGTTTCAAGATGCGCTCCCACGCTTTCCAGTTCCTTTGCATTTTGTTTTTGTAAAGCCTGAGCCTTGCTTTGCAGGCCGACTTCGACAACACACTCGCTGTGCGAAGGTCCAAGCCCAAGGAAACAATATGTGTGGGCACAGGTTCGGGACATTCGGCGTGGCGTGTAGTTGGCCCTTCCACGATCAACCTTTTGAGCTGGCAAGGGCATGGCCACAACAGTTGAAAGGTATTGTTCGGATCGTACTGACGCTTAGCAAGCCTTCCTTGACCTTCATGCGTTATATAACCTTCCTAATTTGGGGCAACAGGAATGGCATTTATATCCTTTCCAGTTGTCAAACCAAGGCAAGACCTTATGCAAAGGATTGACAATCCACAGAGAGCAGAGGCAACACTCGAACAAAGCTGTTGGTGATGGAGTTGGAGCATGGTTTTTGATTTTCCGTAGAACCGCTGTAGTGTGCCTTATAGCCCGTAGCAATGATGAAGGCTCCTTTCTTGTTGTGGCAAGTCCAGTGAACCAAAGCCAGTGTTTATTCTCAGCTTTTGAGAATCGCACGGTCACGCAGCTACCTGACACTGGGGGCTGCGTGCCCCACCAGTCGCACGCAAGCCTTGACCACAGGAAATGCGATGCTAGTCAGACCTTGTTCAACCAAGTTTAACCTGCCCTTGAGCAAAGCAAATGTATATAGTTATTTGCTATCACTAGATGACCAGTATCCTGCTAGGTCCCGCTATCGACTGTTTCACCCAGAGACCAGCATTCTTTTTGTGCTCTCATGTTCATCGTAGACATCGACGCTGCTGGCCTCATTGATGACGGGAAATCATCCATTTGGCAATGTCGGGACATGGCCAATTCATACGTTCATACAACGGTCACAATAAGCTCTCCAATGCTTCTGGCTAGCTTTCTATGTTGCTGGCTCTTCCTCCTTTTGATCCTTTTTCTACTTTTGGCTAGCTTTGGCAGGACATGGCGTGTTCAACATATTTTGTGAGGGCGTTGTCCCTTGGGCCACTTTGCCGGCCGTTCGTTTGCTTTGCCATGCTGCATTGATGTAATTGTTTTGACTTTTTCGCTCAGCATGATTGTTTGAGCTGCCGCATTCTCCCGGACGAAGAACTGTCTCGGACAGGCCCAGCACTCTGGCCTCGGCAGCGGGGAGCCAGCGTTGGTGGCTAGCTTGGAGATGAATGAACCAATGAAAGCACAGCAGAGTCTTGCTTTGGTCAAACATGGTAAAACTATATGCTTTATATGCTCGATTACCTTGGCATTTCCTTTGGGGCCATGATGGCCTTTTTGATGCACCGCCCATGGCAGAAGTACACCCCCCCCACCCACCCACACTTTGACAATGGGTTTGCAGTTGACTCAATTCCCACGAAAAATGGATGCAAACGGCAAGGCGGCTGGGTCAGTGGAAGTGAAGGTGTTTAACAAAAAGGTTTGCATGACTGCGGACTCTAGTTACTGAATACGTAGCGAGGGAAACCTGTTTTGGGATCTATCATGAGAACGACCATGGAAACAAACCAAGAAAGTAGACAGCGTGAACAACAGTTGTTTTGCAGGTACACCGAGCTGATCAGGCTCTGCATCCCCCTCTTGTCCACAGCTTCACTGCGTGTGGTAGGGTCACACGCCCCTGCAAACAAATCGGGTTTAAGCTCCTGGAAACGGAGGGTGACGCACACACACCCGCAGGAAGTTATGTATACGAACTGAATGCTGAATGCCACATGCCATGAAGAGGCCTAGGTGGCAAAAGGGCGGTAAGTAAAGGAGGGCCATTTAATTCATGTTTTTCCCGAATGCGTAGCGAAGGGTTCTCGTTTAACTCTGGGGGTCTGGGGGAAGAGCCTTGTTCGCAACCTGTTGTTTCGGCGTCCGCAAACGTCCGCCGCCGTTCGCAGTAGGGCGCTATGGCTGCTGCCATTGGGGGAAGCTTTTGGAGAGGGTTTGTCATGGAAGCGTGCAGATTCGTGTGAAATAGCGTGGAGCCGTGTGGAAACGTCAGATGTTGAAGTGTGGAGGATGACTTCACTGCGCAGGTGCAGCGTTTTGTGAGGTCCGCAGTTTTCTATGCAGTTCCTTCGGGATTAGTGTTTGGAGAGTGGTGTTTTTGGGGTGTTGGATGTGGCCGTGCCATTGGGGTTTGTGTTTCAGGGTGTTGCATCGAAGCTTTGTTTTCCTGACAAGTCTCAGCTGAAATTGCGACATTGGTGGATGGGAGTGTGCTCAGAACGGGTCGAAATCATTCCAAACGTGTGGTGCGGTGCAAATTTTGTTGAAGCTCACATGATATGACATTGTCACTGTTCGTGGCAGGCGCAGTACTTTGTGCGGGTTTTGAGGTGTGGAAGTGCGATTTTCGTGGCGGGCGCAGGGAATGGTGAGGTTGCGAGGTGTGACGGAGGTGACAGTTCGTGGCAGGCGCAGTACTTTGTGCGCGTTAGACGTGTGGACGCGGAAAGATTCGTGGCAGGCGCAGGGAATCGTGAGGTTGTGAGTTGTGGTAGAGGTGAATGTCGCTGTGACATTGGGATTGGCGTGTGAGCGGGTGCTGGAATCGCGAAACTGCTTGGCAGGGCTGCGTGATGTGCGTGCTCCGATGGCTGTTTCCGCTTGACTTTTGGAGGAAGTCTCGTACGAAACGCTCGTTTTGCAGACTTTGACGTGTGAGTTTTTGAGGAAGTCTCAAACGCTCGTTTTGGAGACTTGATGTGTGACTTTTTGAGGAAGTCTCGTACGAAACGCTCGTTTTGCAAACTTGACGTGTGACTTTTGGAGGAAGTCTCGTACGAAACGCTTGATTTGCAGACTTGACGTGCGACTGTTGGAGAACGTTGCGTACGAAACGCTCGTTTTGGAGACTGTGCGCGTGACTTTGGAGGAAGTCTCGTACGAAACGCTTGTATAGTGTGTGGGCAGATCGTGTGGCGACACGACGTTCGTGACGCCATTGGGATTTGCGCGGCCTTGGTGGGAGCTGACCTTCAACAAAGAAAGCAAGCTGAAAGAGCTTCAAGAGATCTGCAAGAATTTGGGGCTACCATCATCAGGCTCCAAAGTGAAGGTGCTGAAACGTCTGAAGCAGTACAAGCATCATGAAGAGGAAAAGATTGCGTATGAGGTTGCTCACGTCTTTTCAGTGAGCAACGCAGAGAAGAAATTCCAGTCAGAACACCCAAGTTGCCAACCAAGCATGAGCAAGAGCTTCACCAGCTCACCCACTTGCCATTCCAGGCATGGTGTCAACATTGTGTGGCAACAAGGGCAAAAGAAGATGTGAGAACAGATGCTGATAGTGCAGATCGAAAGGATCGAGTTCGAAATGTGATCAGCTTTGACTACGGCTACACGTACACTTAAGAGAAACAAATTGGCACTGCTCTCTACGTGGCTGAATTGAATCCAAGGCAGTTCTTTGCATTCCTGTTCAAGCTAAAGGAAGCACCTCCCTTCGGCAAGTCACAGAAGAACTGACTCGTTTCAGCATGCGGGTTTGCGATACCCAGCCAATCGTATTCCAGTCGGACGGTGAACGTGCAACAAGACAGATCCTCAGATTGACAACGGGACAACGGCCCGTGAGCAACATGCAAGCAATGGTCAGGCAGAACGAACAGTTCAATCTGTCAGGAAACTGGCCAATACTTTGCGCAGCTTTGCTGAGGAGAAGACGGGCATCAAGATCACCGGAGACATGCGTTGTTATCCATGGAGCTTTCGTCATGCAGAGTGGTCGATGGTGAGATACCATGTGATTTGCAATGGCTGCGCGTCATTTGAAGCCCTGACCGCCCACAAGTACAATGGGAAGGTAGCGCTATGGGGTGAAACAGTCCTCTTCAAGGATGCCACTGCCTTCGGCAACAAAGGTGAACCTGTCTACAAGAAGGGACTCTGGATGGGCAAAAGTGCTTCCACATCTGCTTGACATGTTCAGGACCAGTGGAAGCCCGGATGGTGGTGAACAGCAAGGGCTTGCCTTGGCAATACTCCATCCAAGGCATTCTGATGAGGTCTCGATTTGCAGCGCGACAACGACAAGCAGAAGCAGCGGAGGATGCTGTGGAGCAACAGGACAAGCAATACGGTGGCCGAGGATGAGAGTCCATCAGAGAGGATCAGCAGGCTTCCAGTTCCAGAGGCCATGAGAGGTGAACCTGCGCGGAACTTCATGCAAGACACCGAGAGCAACAGCCCCAAGCGTCAGAAGACAGCAGATGCCTCGACTCCAGCAACAACGGAGACTGCAACAGCATCGCAACCAAGCAGTTCATTGCTAGCATTGCCCCAAGGAAGGAGCCTTGAAGAGAGAGTTGTTTTCGTTGCCCTGGGATGCTGAAGATGATGAACGACTTCGAATGAGTCCCAAGAAGAAGATCAGGACCATTCAGGAAGAGTTCCCAGGAGGTGATGACATGCTAGCAGAGGAGGTACTGCAGTCAGCATTGAACGATGTTAGTGACGATGAAGCGGGAGATGTCAAGGCCAAAGACCGACCGCCAGAAGTCTCAGATGAAGAGCTCGCAGCCCTGGATGAAGAAGCCTGTCGATATGAAGAACACCGCCTAGAACAAATGGGCGTACTTGAGAAGATGTAAGATGTTGAGCCGGACGAGGATGGCTCATACGTTCTCACCAGCAAGATGGTGATCGCCTGGAAATTCCGGGATGAGCAGGGTGGATGGTTTAGGCGAGCGAGATTGGCGGACGACAGTGCAAGTGGAGTGTTTTCACTGAAGACTCCTTCGCTCCCACCTCTGCATCAGTTGTGGTCAGAATGTTGTTGCGCCTGCAAATGTTGGACGTCAAGGATGGATACCTTTTTGCTCATGGACCAGCCGGCAGATGAGAAGGCCATGATTGTGGCCAACAAAGGCAAGTACAACCTGAAGAAGAACTTGCCGGCTGCCGGGCCAGAGAAATGCAGCTGCGCAATGGTTCAAAGGTTTCTGTGCAGTGGCTCGAGACTATGGCGCGACCCAAGACGTCATGCAGCCAACTATGATGAAGAAGCTGAAGAAGGCTGACGACGAGGCTGGCGGACGTCTCTTCCTCACCATCCACGTTGACGATTTGCTGTTGGTTGGCGACGAACAGGAAGTTGAGCGCTTCATCAAGTACATGGAGCAGAAGTCCTGGAAGGTGGAGAAACGTGGGCCATTGTATCAAGGCACTGTCAGCCATCTCAAGCGCGGCGTCACCATTCGTCCGGACAAAGAGCGCATCAAAGCCCTGGCAAAGGTGACAAATGTGGAGAACAAAAGGTTCCGGAATACGCCAGGGGATGGAAACTTCACAAAGCTGAGCAAAGAAGATGAGCCGATGGCCAATGAAGATGTCACCAGCTACAGAAGTGCTGTGGGGAAGCTCTTATACATTTCCCCGGATCGTCCGGACATTCAGTTCGTGGCCCAAGGATAGGCAAGTCTGACGCAGAAGCCAACCAAGAAAGCTTGGAGAGCCATGCAACGCGTGAGCTCCTACCTGCTGGGCACCATCGACGAATGCATCTTGTTGGAGTATGGCCCGAAAGGAAGAAGTGTCCTGAATGTCAAGAGGATTTACTACACGTATGGGAAGATGAATCCAAGGCCAACTTGCATCTGCGATGCTGACTATATGCAGGCCAGCAATCGACAAGGAGATCAGTGAGTTCAGTTCAACTGTACTTGAATGGAGGGCTGATGGAGTCCTATGTTCGATGCCAGAGATGCATAGCATGGCATAGCACTTTCCTCCGGCGAGAGCGAGGATGTGGCCATGGTTGGAGGATGCAGTGACGGACTCTTCATCAAGCATTGCTGGTCCTTCCTGACAGGAGATGAGATCAATATGGTCTGCAGGAGCGACTCTTCAGCAAGGTCGGATTGGAGTCGGGAGGACCCGACGCATCGCAGCTGGACTTCTATGGCTGCAAGAAAAGACACACGCAAAGGAGCTAAGGATCACCGGAGTGCCTACGGCCATCAACGTGAGCGACGTTGGCGCGAAGATCTTGAGCAAAGCGCGTATGAAAGGCCTGAAGCACCTCATCAAGATGGTGGATGGAGACAATGAAAAGATTGGCAGTCAGGAATCCGAACAAATCCATGCCAAGGAAGAATTGAAGAAGAACATCGGCAAACTGGCAAAGGCAGTCGGTGGACATGCAAGGATCGCATTGGTCCTGGCTTTGACAATGCTGCAAGGCGGCAAGGCATCAGAGATGCATGAGGCAAAGGAGAATGAGATGAACGATGAATCATGGTGGATTCGGCCATTGCTCACACTGGTATGCTTAGCAGACTGCTTAGCAGCTATCGGGGCCTTGAGCTTGACACGATGGCTATGGGAGAAAGGAAGACAGTGGTTCAATGGAAGACGAGTTCACGCTGACCAGAAGAAGAAGAACAGCCAGAACAGCCGTAATTAAGTCACAAGACGAGACAGACATTGACAAGGTGAACGTGCAATGGCAGATTGTGCACCTAGAGGTGGCCATTGCAGAAAAGGAAGAACAAATGAAAGAAGTGACTGAAGAAAAGACAGGATGATGAATGAATATTTGAGGCTCGCTGACATGAATGTCAATCTCAGGGGCCAGATCGATGCACTTTGAGAAGAAAACTTCGAACTGGCCAGTCAGCTTCGACGACGAAGTGGAAACGATGGTGACAAGACAGTGGAGATCGCAAGATTGGAAGAAGACCTGAAACTATGCCGTGACAGCGTAGTGCTGTGGCAAAGAAGGGTGAGAGAATGCAATGAGAAGATGAAGGAACAGATGAACAGCGTGAAGTTCGTGATGGATCGAAAGCGCTGGTTCCTTTCCCAAACGGGCGAATGTTACCATAGTGAGAACCGCCATCACGTGGCCAACCGAGCCATGAGGCAGATTCGACCTTGTAGCTACTGTGTGCCAGATACCATGAGGGCCGTGACAGAGTTCACAGGAATTTCAGGTGCATGAGGCAGATGGTAACTAGCGCACAGTGGCATGAACTTTGCACTGCGCAGCAAGCTAGCCTAGTGGCTGATCTCTGCTGCTGTTTGGTTGACCGCTGCCAGTGAAGATTTTTAGGTTCTACGCCAAGGTGTTTTATCATTTTCTTTTCGGAAGAGTCTTGCAGCTACACTGAAGCTATACTATGCTATTGAAAACAACATGATAGCAACATCTAATAGCAACGGCTTCCAACCTAAGAGCGATGGCCGCAATGGCCTCCAACCGAAGAGCGATGGCCTCCAATATAGCACTTTCCTTTTTGAGATGCACAGCCAAGTTTCCAAGGTCCCTGTGCTCGATGTTTGTCTCCTGGGCGGTTTCCCGTCATCGCTCCCGTGCTGCAGCTGAGACACATGCGCATCATCGTAGACATTGAAATGAAATACATAGCGGCGTATTTGACACAACTTAAAAACAAAGAAGGATATATAACATGTCAATCTTGTTTTTCGGAATAACACATCCGCACTCTGTTTGGAATCATGAGTTGTTGGACTGGCCGCTGTGATCAATCCTGCCGTTCGGTGATCAATCCTGCCGTTTGTAGCCGGACATCGCTGCAGGTGCTCGTCGGCGTGCTTGGATCCAAGATTCAGATAGGTGGCTTACATCAAATCACACATTATTAACGGTATTCTTGTGTTTGACTTTGGGAAGAAAACTTTAGGCGGCAGCGGCCACAGACTTTGACATTGACATCATTCAGAAAAAAAAGACCGGAAAGAAGACAGAGGAGGAAGAGGAGACCAAGACATCGAAGGACCTGAAACAATTTTACACATGTTTACACGTTCTATGTTCTACCAAGTTTGATTGGCGTTGTGCAGTTCTGTTTTTTCGTGCCCCTGTGGCACTTTCGCACGGTTAGGACATGTGGGTAGTACTGGTGCATGCTCCGATTAGAAACTGCAAGATGCCGTCAGAAGCTTGACACAATTCGATTCAAAGCAGAGTGTCTGATGGACGGAGGAATTGCGCTTGACGACGTTCACTCAACGACCGAAATCCTTGTTGTCCTAGGTGGTGCAAAATCCCTGGGTTGCGGCGCGTGATTTGCACTTGCCTGAAGGCTCGATAGCCTGAGAACCAGACTAACCAGACTAACCAGACTTACAACAAACATCTAAATGCAAGGAACTCGGAGTGAACCTGTTTGGGACAGCTCCTCCATGTTGTCCTTCTCGCAGCATTGCCGAATCACGCATAAGCAAAACATGTGTGCACACACATATATCATACACTGTACAGTATCTATATCTTTAGTCCGATGGTTTGAATGGTTTGCAAAATGCATTGTGTGGGCAATAAACGTTCGCGGCAGGACGGTGTTGAACCTGGGGCTGGAATCAGATCCAAGGCGCCATATCCAAAAGATTCGTCGAACAAATATCTTGTAATGATATGCATAGGAGTTTGCCCAATACTTGACTTGGCCTTGCATTGTGTTAGGGTCCGTTAAACGACTTGTCCTTTAGCCAGGATGGGAAGTGTGCCTTGACGCTCGAACAATATGCAGAGGCTAGGCTCAAAAGAGAATGGGTGAGGCCCAGGGCCTGGCTCGCCTGGTTTGCTCCAAACTGTGTGTGCTCCATTTGCTGTACTTGCCTGGAGGTGCTATCTGAGGGGGTGCCTTTGCTGTCAAGAGGCAAGGCATATGAGGTCTCGAGCAGACTCTTTGCTGGACGCTCAGTCCCTCTGACATTACGACAAAAATGTATATACGAAAAAGCAAGACTAGGACAATTTGAAAGGTGAGATCCAGCGAATATCACATTGCAGCTTGGAACCGATTTGACACCAGCCGGTTGAAACGCTACCAGGAAAGTGCCATGGCAAATCCAGTTGGCACTGCGGTGGCCCCCTGCTCAGCAAGTCCACAGCAGTTGTAGGCTTTTTGCTTGCACTACACGTTAGAGTTAGATTCCAACAGCATTCTGCAGTTGAAGATTCTTCTCCTTGCTCTTAAATTATGGGGAAGTGGACAATCAAACAAGCCCTGGGCACATTTGCTGCATCATTGGGAATTTCCAAGCTCGCCAGCTGAACGGATTGGAGTGTGAAAGTCACAAAGGATGACAAAAATACAAGTGACTTCGCAAATGTACGGCATTCCGGCATTCCTTTGATTTCTTCAAAAGCAAAAAAGTGCCTCCACAATGTGATGGCCTTTTCAGGGACTCCACCTACATGTGGAGCAGCTGATCTCACGCCATGCAATTTCTGTTAGCCAGCCAAACTTGTTGATGATGGATAGCTTACATATTGGATGCAGTCGTGGAGGCGAGTCTTAGCGTTGTCTGCAGACACCCAAGTCCTACAAAATCATCGCATTATCTTTCGTAACTGTGAGTTTGATGACAGTGACCCAGTCACCAGCAATGGCAAGTTGTTCATATGTTGGGGCTTCGGTCGAGCATGTGAGTATGTATATATATAATTGTCTCTGCTGAGGTCATCAACTCGTTCAAGAAGGCAAGTCAAGCAAAGATATTTGCAAAGTCCATTGAATGGTGTACTGGTGTACAAAGCGATTTTCTCCGTGTTGCAAGTGGCTCGAGGCTGCAGAAGATTATCACCAACGCCTGACCAACTTGGGTCTTTGGACATCCATTGCACCCGTCGATCGCGACTAGGCCATGCCTGGTGAAGTACTTGCTTCGCGTGCCCGACTGGCACTTTTGTGGATGAACAGGAAAGAGACAAGACAAGACCAACACAAGGCTGCTATTGCAGGCTCCCAAGCAAGACTAAAACAACGAACTTTTCTGTGGGACAAAGGTGCTGTCGCAGCCTGGACAGAAGACTCTGCTGCATAAGGCATAAGATCTCTTGATGTAAGATGACTATGTACAGTCAGCGAGCAGAACCTTTTTGGTTGGACAGAGTGCAGAAGAAATACACTTCAGACATTCTACCGGCGCTTGAGAGCAAGAAAGAGCGCAGAGTTGAACTGTAACTGACGATAAGCTTTTGACATATACACCAACAACCTACCAATAAGCAACAATTATAAGTGCGCACGGCACACAAATTGATCTATGTGCTGATATAGTCATGGAGTCCAGCTGCTGCCCAGCTCCTTTCCTTCACATCAAGTACAGTACATCAGAACTGCAAGAACCCACTCACACCACATTAATTTCTCTGCATAGAATGCAAGGAGTGTCATGAATTCTCACTGTCAGAAAGTGCTACCTCGTCAAGAAGCATTTTTTGCGCTATTCATATCTTGTCGATCTGTAGAAAGGGGAATGTGAAAGGGCACGCCAGGTCCTGGAACACGATTGGCAAGCTTTTCAATACAAGCTTTTCACCACTCAAAGTTTCCATGGCTGCCTCGTCCTCCGCAGATGTGAAGATCCCAAAGTCCCCTGTGGTGATTCTGATGATTGGAATGGCTGGGAGCGGGAAGTCAACGTTGATGCATCGGATGGTGGTGCGACTATCCAAGCACAAGAAAGTTTATACAGTGAATTTAGATCCTGCTGTGCGGAATTTGGCTTATCCAGTGAATATTGACATTAGGGACTCCGTGAATTACAAGGAGGTCATGAAGCATTTTGGACTGGGACCGAATGGTGCAATCATGACATCATTGAATCTATTTGCCACCAAGTTCGATCAGGTTCTCAACATTCTGAATAAACGTGCAGAGAATTTGGATGTTGTATTGATTGACACTCCAGGGCAGATTGAGGTTTTCAACTGGTCAGCCTCGGGCCAAATCATTTGTGATGCTTTGGCTGTGTCCTATCCCACTATAGTTTGTTACGTTGTCGATACTGCGAGGTGTGTAAAGCCCGTGACCTTCATGTCCAACATGCTCTATGCATGCTCCATTTTGTACAAAACCAAGCTCCCTTTCATTGTCTCCTTCAACAAGATTGATGTGATCTCCCATGATTTTCTGAAAGAATGGATGGAGGACTTCGAGAAACTTGGGGATGCTCTAAGCCGCGAAACCTCGTATGTTGCAAGTCTGTCAAAGTCAATGAGCTTGGCCATGGAGGAATTCTACAGGAATTTGAGATCTGTAGGAGTGTCGGCAGTCACTGGCGCTGGTGGCGAGGATTTTGAGAAAGCAATCCAGGAAGCATGCACAGAATTTCAAGAGAGCTATGTGCCCTTTCTAGTGGAACAACGACGAGATCTGGAAGAAAAGCGAAAGGCCTCAGTGGAGGAGCAAATGAAGACTTTCGAACGTGGTTTGGACAGGGCCAAGGCAACCAACAAACGTGGACGTGACACAGACTTGGATCAGTTGGGAGAAGATGTACAGAATCTCTCGATTGAGGAGCGTGATTACATGATGGATTGTATGGATTGACTGTATTGCAAGTAAAAAACAAGTCCTACCCGAACCCGGTGGCAATGCTCTCAGTCTTTCTCTGTGAAATGGGACTGTGTATGGTACAGGTACTGGTATGATACCATGTGTGTATGTGGACATATAAATAATATGAGTGACAACTATCCACAAAGAAGCATCCAAATCTGAGAGCAAGACATGGTGTTTGGAGCAGATCTGCAGGTCTTTTCGGCGTTTGGCTCTTGCTCTCGGAGTTTAAGTTGCACATACCTCGGGCCTGTTTTGATCCCCAAATACTGACATGTCCTTGATCTTTCTTGTAGAACCGCCATGAAATTCCTAACGGTTGACAACACAATCAATTTGACGACGGAGCTGGATTGACAGCTCTACTGATCCGTTTGCAGCAGAATCTTGCAAGTCGAATTAGAGAAGGCTTTATTCAGTGGCAATGGAAGCATGCCGAGGCGGCAGCAGGCAAAGGGAATGATCTTGTTCTACACCCGAAAAGGGGTAGTACTGCAGGGGAGATAGATCGAACGATGGGACAAGTGAGTTTGAACAGGTTGTGACAAAGAGGGACGACCGAGCTAGATGTTCTTTTTTGGATCTCCTTGCTTAGGATTGATTGCCGATTGCTTTTGTTTGTGAAGGCTCGTCTTTTCCACCATGGCATACATGCTGCCACCTCAACGAATCGTGAGGCGCTTGCCATTCGATTCTGCTTGACATTTTTCATGTCTTGTAGAGGTGTTCTCTTGAAAGGCTTTGTCAGTATCGAAGATCCAATTCAGCGATCGCCAGAAATAGACACCAAATGAAAAAGTCGCGGCTTCTGGTTTGCCCGGTGCAACTTCTGGGAGGGGGAAGAACACAAACATCCCGGCGCGGTGCAAACTGCGCGTGTGGTTGAGTGAATTTGTATTGGAGTGAAAACTGGGGTGTTTTACAGTAGCCCTTTTTTTGTGATCAAGTACCTAGAAATCATCGCAATTACAATAGGATTCAATTTCGGGCGGTTTTACACTGTATTTTTGTGTCATGAAAACGGTGGCAAAATTTGAGTCCACGAACGAGCTGCTTCGTCGTTTTCTCAGGGAAAATGTACAAAAAAGGGACGGTGGCGCTTCTTTTCACGACAGTTTGGCAAAAGCCTTCGCAGTCGCAGAGCACCGGTCTTCCGTGCCCGCCATTGCCAACTTCGAACATATGTCATGATTTTCGTGTCAAAGGCACCACCAACAGTAGGTTTCTTTTAGCCATCTTCCAGACATTATCAATGCCGTCCGTGTGGGCATCCAATCTCTTATTTGTGGTTGGCCATGGTTCGATTCACAAACACGCCCTTGCTGTGGTCGCAAGATCTACTCAAAACTTTCATTTCTTTTGCCAGAGGAGGCTACGCCGGCGCTCCGTCAGAAACCAAAACTGTTGTGACACCGTTAGAATCCTGATGCCCTAAGGACCGAGCTCGAACTCCCCAAAAACTATAGATGTTCACCACTCTGGAACCACGTACCAAAGCACCGTACACGTAAAAACGAACCGACAACGGATGCATACAGATTTGCCTGCCATGTGCGCACTCGTGCGGATGTACATGCCATGTTAGCTATGAAAGAATGTCCCCATGAATAAACTCAGTACAGTGTTCTATTCCACCGTAGCATCGGGGCTCAAAGTGGGTTCCTGGATGGGAGGGGACTCAGGTTCCCTCCCAGTGTGCGACAGGTGCCGCCATTTTGTTTGCCGGGAAAGCGGCATTCAGACGTGTGGACCCTGTCGAAAGGCATACCAATTGCAAGTGTCGTTGCGTGCTGTCTGCCCTGCAAATCGCGACGAGAGTGCATTGGTATTCCTTGACGGCTGTTTTGGCCTGCTTGAAGATTGGGTTGGTGAGCTGCGGGGCATTGAGGAGCGTGAGCAGCAGACCCACGGTGCAGGTCGAAGTGGAAAAAGAAAGAGCCCTTAGAAGACAAGCCCCTGAAGAGAAAACAAGTTGACAGCCCGCCAGTGAAAGCAGCCCGAACCAACAGTCCACATCCAGAGTCGCATCCAACCCAATCCTCAGCCAGTCGCCCTACCACTGCCAGTCGAGTGCTGCCGCCGCCCAAAGCACCTCCCCAGTTGTTACCAGCCAGATCTGAAGGGAGTTTGAGACTTGTGGAAAACTCCCAGGCCAAAGGCCCTCGCCCTAGCCGAAAGGAACAGGAGGTCAGCAGGCCCCACGACCCCCAAGGGTCAGGCTTGGCGGCACCAGCCACAGAAACTCCTGGCGCCGGAGAGGAGTTCGAGGCAGTTGAGGAGGAAGAGACCCATCCTGAAGAGGGTGTCCCAGCAGAGAGGGGCAGGTCAAGGGAGTCAGCCACAGGTACTCCCAGCACCAGAGAAAAGAAGAAGAGGAGAAGGCGCCGCAGGGAGAAAGACAAAGAAAAGGACAAGAAGAGGCATCGAAGGAGGAGGGAGACTTCGAGTGCGAGTTCATCAGTGACCGGATCAAGGGTCCGTGAGGCCAAGAAGAAGGAGCGCAAGGCCAGGCCGTTGACACCACCTCGCCCAAGGAGTCCCCATACTCCACCAGTGCCGCCGCCCCCTCCAGCGCCTCCGCCTATCCCACCAGCTCCCCCACAGAGAGGCTGGGTCGGTCCAATCCCATACAGCAACCATCCCAGGTGGTTTGTGGGATAAAACAAAGGATTACAAGGCGTGCGAAGCAGGAGTTGAGAGATCGGCAAATGGCGCTGGGGGTGAAATCCAGACCAGCAGCTCGAGTTCCTGCAGTCAAGAAGAAACCTGCCTCGAAGGGAGATGAACTCCCAGTGTCCCACTTCCATTATTTGCGTGAGTTGGCAGCTGCACAATTGAGGTGCCTTGGCCTTATCGAACTAGGCGACGCTCACTATTATGGAGGGCACGTGAAAGTTGCGGGCTATATAGTTGGCCTTGGAAAAGAAGAGGACTTCCTTGAATTTCGCGTGTCGGGCCTCGGGGACGCAAACCAAAAGGCTTGTTGAGATGCTTTCAGATCCTGCCAAGCGCACAATGCAACTCCACATCTGCCCCCCCGAGTGCACGTGGGAGCCTACGGGGGAAAGTTTGTTGCGTGCGTCGGGCTATTGGGTTGTGGGGGCTCAGAAGCTCCCTTGGCATACATTGTTGGAGGACAGTCCACCCAAGCGTGAGGAGCACGATGAGCTTGCCAAGTTGAGAGCATTGCACGAGGAGAGACAGGCCGGAGGAGCAAGGGAGACAGATTCTCCCAGGGGAGGCAGTGAAAAGAAAGCAAAGGCAAAGAAGAAGAAGAAAGGCGAAGAAAAGGACAAGAAGGCTGGAAAAGATCGAGGCGGGCGACAGGAGGATCCAGGCGAGGATGATGGTGGTGCGCTTGAGAGGGGCCAGAAGTCACTGTCGGCTCTTTATGAGGGTACCCCTGGATCCCAATGCAGAGAGTCGTAGCGAGCTGTTGAAGAAGGCAAAGCGGCTTGGTGGCAAAGAGTCAAAGAAAAGGAAGCGCTCGTCAAGTGAGGATGGCAGCAGCTCCAGCTCTTCGACGGAGTCGGAAGGTGAAGAGTTCGGCGAGGGGCTTTTTGAGGCACGGAAGCGAGCGTTGAGACTCACCCAACGCTGTCCTGGATGCTTGGCAGCGCAGACGGTGGCCAACATGAAGGAGGCCCTTTTGACTCAGAGCGGAACGCTGTACTCACAGAACCGCAGATC